ATTCTGGAGGTGTAGACAGTAGTTACAGGGCCTAGGCCAGTGTTTCTTAAACTGTGTTCCATTTAGTCAGAGGTGTGCTGCGGAGAACAGAATTAAAAATGGCCACCCTTAAAGGAGCAGGCGACCTTTTTTTGCACTCAATAACTTTCCCCCCGACACTTCCCCTCCCCAATAACTCGCCCCCCTCACCCTTCCACCCCACCGACCTTCTCTCCCCCCGAAACAAAAAAATCCTTGATGTGCCTCAAAAAAAAAATTTTTTTGTTGTTCCTCGGTCTTAAAAAGTTTAAGAAACAGTGGCCTAGGCAGTTGGGCCATGGAGCCTTAGCTCTCATAACAGATGCTTGAAAGAAAACCTGTACCTTGAGACTAGGTATAAAAACTCCAAGCCAGGGATAAGTGAATAGACTCTGCAATGGAGCTGAGAATTTTTGCTGGGGGTAGGGGTAGTGTAGAAAGCCTTCTCCCTTCCTCCTCAACCCCTTCCCCTCTCATACCCTGAACAGAGCCACGTGGAGCAGCCTTAAGCAGGCAGTCTGCCTCAAGCTTCTGCTGGTAAGTGCCTCCAAGCCAGAGCCTGCCTCTGGCACCCCAGCCTCTCCCTTCCCCAACCCTCTGCCCCCCTCCACATACCCCAACCCCCTGCCGCCTCCTGCACCCATACCCCTTCCCAGATCTGGCACCCCAAAATCACAATCCCCCACCCTAGGTCACATCCCAAATTCTACAACCTTGTCCCCTGCCCTAAGTTACAATTGCGTCCTTCACCCAAATGCCCTCTCAGACCCCATTCTCTCTTCTGCACCCCAATCCCTTCTCCCAAGGTCCCTTCTGCACCCAGCCTCCATCCCAGACCCCATAATTCCTCCATTAATATGCTGGAAGAGTGTGGCCCTTGACCACTTTCCAAATCTTGAAGTGGCTCCCTGTCAAAAATTATTGCCCACCCTTGGCATAGAGGAACTTTCTGGCACTGGTGAAATGTGGAACACTTCGGCAGTTTTTGCCAATTCCATTTTGATCTTTTCTTTCACAAGCATTTTGTATAGCATTTTTAAATCTATAATTGGAAGCATCATTTATTAAGCGCCAAGATGTGCATGATTATATACTGGGTACATTATGAGAGTCGCCTCTCTGGAAGTTTATAATATAATAAAAATCATCATTATCATGTAATTAGGATAATAAAGTAGAGCAGACTTTGGAAACTTTTCGACAAAGGGCCTACTGATATACTGATTCACATGTAAGTTTAAGGTTGTTGAATTCTCCTTCCTATGGACTTGCAAAAAAAGTATAGGAAAGAGATTGCTGTTAGTGGGATAGGAATAATCAGACATTGAATTCTGTTGAATTTAGTTGAGAAACTATGAACAATACTCTGTTTAGTCCCAATTCCTTCTGCATTCTGGATCACAACACAGGCCCAAGTGATTTCCCAAGTGATTACTCGGATATGAAATCTGCACGTTCAGAACAGAACAGAACAGAACAAAAGGTTGATTCAATCGGCTCTCCTACCACATTTGAAATTCGGGGAGAATCTGAACTGGGTTTACTGAATTAACTAGATACTCCCCCCTCCCCCAAGGGGGATTTGCATTGCTAATTTTGCCTCCTACGTGAATTCTGCTCTTGAATGTTATGGTACAGGACCCTCTGCTTTATGCCTTCAGAGACTCAGTGGGTTTAAATTCTAGATTCCCTTTCATTAAATCTCCTCAGATGCCGAAACGTCATTTACTTCTTGTGAGGCACTGAATGAATACCCTGAATAGCATCAAAGAAAATATTAGAAAAAAAGTTGAAGACCAAAATGAGATGAAACATATGAGTATGGTTCTTAGCCTCAGTCACTCATCATAGCAAAATAATAAAGAAAGAAAATATAGTGTTCACTTTGCTGGAGTCTATCAGCGACTCATCTATCCTTTAGCACTACAGCATTTCAGAGATTCTCCTCTAGTATCAAGTATCTGGCAATCCCAATCAAAAAGGTATTTCCTCCCCTCACACCTCAAAGGTCAAGTTTAAACATTTTGAATGCATCTACTAGTTGTGATGTTGCAGATAGTATTTTTGGGGGGTATGCCCAACACAGCAACATTATTTTGAAATAACAAGTGTTATTCTGAAATATAACAGTCTGTGTCTACACAGTAAGCAGTTATTTCAAAATAATGTCAAAATACTGTCAAGCTGGAGGACTTCTTACTCCATTTCCTGTAATCCTCTGTCATAACCATGAAGGTTGGCCAGCAGCTTGGGGACTATCGGGTTAACTACGTCCCTTGTACCTAGCCAGGTAGCGGTCAGCCAATAGAAATGTGTCTATCAAACAGACAAAGGAATTTTGGGGTTTTCCCTCCTTTGTCTGAGCCAGTTTGATCTCTAAATACTGAGGGAGTCAGAAGACATCGCTCTCCAAGAAAAAGACTCTTCATAATGTGTAACTAGGGTAAAGTCTAAATAAATCCATCAGGTTTTATTGTTTTCTGTTTCGGGAATTTGGATCTGATGTCTGTGCTGTCAGAAAGGGTTTTCCTCTCTTTTGTAACTCAGTTTTGGCCCATGGTGGAATCCTCCATTAGTATATTAATTGGTGGCTCTTACCATCTAGCCATTCCAACTATGCTTGTAACTGGGGTATTGTTTTGATAATAAAAGTTTTTTCTTTTTTATTTAACCTGGTATTGGTTAATTTGTGTGTCCTGGTTTTACTTTAGGGCTGAGATTTCCAAGGTGGTCGCTTCCCTGGTTTTCTTACCATTACTTGGGTGGTGGCAGAGGATTTTATTCTCTGAAGTCCAGGTATTAGGATTTTGGTAGAAGTTTTTGTACCAAAGCCTGTAGAGATCAGGCCCCCACTTCTGCATTCATTGTGCCAAAGCAGGGAACAGCCTTGACATCCTCACTGTATGAGTAGTAAGGGAAATGGGTGGAAGAATACTCCATTTCAAAATTAGTGCTGTTTAGACACTCCCAATTTCGAAATATATTACGCAACTGACGTAGCTCAATTTGTGTAGCTTATTTTGAATTTAGCTCTGCAGTATAGATGCACCCTTTGGAAATAGTGAGGTTTGCCAAACTATTTGATTTTAGAAAGTAGATTAAACTCTACCCTGTTCAATCCAATACCTGCAGAAGAGATTTCACTTAATTTGACACTTTGTAGAACAGCTTCTCTACATTAATAATTTGGGTGCCCATCTGCTGTAAGTTTCAAGAGCTCTTTTTCAAATGTATTTGAATATCAAATATTGTATAACCTATTTTTGCTCATATTGTAATGGTCACCTCTGTTCCCAGATTACTATTAGTTTTTCTCCTCACATTCTTATCCACTTTTCATTTACAGTCCTCCCTACAGTAACCACTGATGGTGTATATTTTCAATTAGGGATGTAAGAGTGTAATTGTTTAAACAGTTAACTGATAAGCATTAGCTTACTGGTTTCCATTTTATAGTCTTTCTCAGCGCACACCTACTCCTGGCTGCCAGCCCTGCTCCCAGGGAGTCAGCTGACACCCTGAGCTGTAGGGTCTGCAATATAAAGCTTACACTGAAAAGCCTGCAGCACAACTGGGTCCCTGGGAACAGGGCCGGGAGCTGGTGCATGTAAGCCATATCCCGGCATACACCGGCTCTACTCCTGCACTGCAGCCTCTGCAGAGTCAGCTTTATACGGCAGAGCCCGCAGCATGGGGCAGCAGCTATCTCCCTAGGAGCAGGGTCACCAGTCAGAGCCAGTGCACACTGGGAATATGTGCACTGGCTCCAGCTCCCAGGCCTGCAGTATAATGCTTATAACTGCAGAGCCTGCAGTGTGTGTAACCACTAGGATTTCTAACAGTTACTTGAACTGTTTCTTTAAATACCTATTTTCAATTTAGCAGCGGTTCTAAGCAATATAAATACAGTCTCTCACAGGCATCCAAAAGAAGAGTCATTCTACAATATACATTTGTGGAATTTCCCAGGAGAAATAGCCTCTATTCCATAGAAATGAGAATTGACTTAAATGTTCTCAAGTACACAAACCAAGGAGAAAGCCATAGTGAACTCCCTGACTTGAATATGGATACTATCTCTGCAGCAGACAAAAGAATAACTAATATTGAGTTATATCATGCATAAAACCCAACTTGATTAATCACACAGGAAAGACTAACTCTATATTTTCTCTTTTTCAAACTTCTCGGCTGGACAGAGAGATTTTTTGTTTTGTTTTGTGTTGTATGGGATTTTTTTTTCTTTAAGGGAAAAGCTTGTACAGTAATTTGGAGCCAGCCACATGTTACTTATCAGTGCTTCAATTGCAGGGCAAGTAAGAAAGGCTATGTCTGGTGTTCCTCTGCAATACAGGAAATCTCTTTTGAAGTCTTTTTGAGGGACTAGAAGGGGAGGCTGAAGTGTCAGGAAAAGAATCTGACAGGGTTTTGCACAGTTAAGGAAAGTCTCCTGAGGTAAAAAGTGCCTGGACCAATAACTTTCCTGCACATTAGGCAAGGAGACAAACCACTCCTCCAGCAATGAAAAATTCAGATGAAGGGTTTGGGGCTCACTTGCATTTTTATTTTCAGTGATTGTGTAGAATATTTGAATTAGCTATGTTTTAGGACGTACCTTGCTTGCTAAAGTGATATCAAATCAAAGTTTGTGTCATGTATATGGAGAGGATCATTTACATGATCTCCTGCCAGTTTCTTATCTTTCCAGGAGGCTGCGGAGGAGGTATTTTCCTGAGTGAATTCAAGGGAGTGAGTGCTAAGAATCCGAGACCCTTAAGTTCTAAGATAAAGGACTTGCATTTCAGACATCAGGCATTTTAGAAGGTCTGAATTTATCAAGAAAGCTGGAAAAGACAGCAGAAATTACTTCAAAACAGAGTTAACTGGATATACTTCTATTCCTTCCAAGAGTAGGAAGGTGCATTATTGATGGTGTACTCTTTTCCCATTTTTTACTTCTGATCGCTGCACAAGTAACTTACCGGGGAGGCTTTGCATAACTTCTAGCCTTGGTGAAGACACCCATGAAGAGATCAGGAGTCTGGTAATAGTCCATACATAAGCCCCATAAGACTACCTGTCTTTTCTTGTTTATTTCCTATACACCGGAGAAACCATTCCAAAGAGAAACACCTTCGGATGAGAAAAAAAAATATTCACAAATGCAGGAACAAAGTATTAATACTGCTACTCTACATAGTGTAGCAAGAACTGAATCTGAAGCAGGAAAACAAGGAAGTTAGGTAGATGTCAAATCTTGTTTTAGCAGTTTTATTAAAGTTTGTTAATTAAAGAGACTAAGCTCAAGATTACTAAATAATGAAAAGAAAAATGGGGAATTGTCACTCCCTACCACCTCCTCCTCATATACATGGCAAAAACTTAGATTCAATATCACTTTAGCAGGCAAGATATGTTCTAAAACATAGCTAATTCAAATATCCTACACAATTCAGGCATACCAGTTCAACTGGAGTTGAAGGCTGGTCACCAAAATAAATCCTATGAACACCAGTTACTCATGCTTGACAAATTGTTTATATGCAAGTATGGTTCTTTTACTTACATAGACACATACATACATGAAGCTGCTATTGTATGACTTGCATCACCAATCTATATGGCTGAAATCTAGATACTAAACCAAAACTATTACATACAGCAGTGGTCCCCAACCTTTACGGGCTCCCGGGCGCCCGGGGGCGGGGCCACACACGCGCCGGGCGCCCGGGGGCGGGGCCACACTCGCGCCGGGTGCCCGGGGGCGGGGC